AGAGAGAGCGGACGAGAGCAGCGGAGTTGGAGGAGCGAGCGAGAGAGACCGAGCGAACCACCCGGTGGAGGACCTGAGTCCGCGGTGCAACCAGGCGAAGTGCAGAGGCAACCCTGGTGAAGTACCGGCGCTACGCCGTTCTATTTCTCTTCAATAATTGTTTCATAACCTTGTGGTAGAACGTTCAGAGGACGCCGAACGGTGTCTTTTCGCGTGGGACTTGAAAAGTCTCGACTATTCGGCCCTCGATTAATTGTTTCGCGTGAGGGCGAATTATTTTAGGCAAACCGACGGTCGTAATCGGACGGCCCGAATTACGAAACGACTCGCTCTACCCCGCATTAAGTCGGAGAGATTGAAATCGCTCTACCGATCTCCGGATTCACGTATGCTCAGAGTCGTTCAACGCTATCGGCTTTAAAATCTTTCTCGTACGCTATCGATCTTAAGATTTCGTTCTCGCGAGCTATCGGCACGCGTCGGAGTTAACGGCAAGTGCGACAGCGCGGTATCGTTCATTAATTACGCGGTCGAAGGGAAGTCGCAGGGTGCTATCGTCCCGGGCTATCGTTTCGTCGCGCTAATTGTACATCGAATAGAAAAGTATTTCTATTCGATCCGAGAAGCCATCGCAACATCGCAAGTACGAGAAACGCGTCAAAAACAAGCTAGAGGCTGTTGACGCGAAACAGCTGATCGAGCGCGCGGTCATTGACCCGGCCTTTTGTTCGGCAAACCTCGCGTTGAAATTGTTTTCGCGTTGCGAGACTAACTCGCGTATAGAAAAAGCGGCGCGAGGAATTCACGTGCTCCTCGTGTCACGCGGAAAACCAAGCTGCCGATTATTCTTGGTCATTTCCGCACTGTGATTCCCGCGGGGAATCCCCGGCGTGTTATCGCGAAAGTATTCCGCGCATTGTATCACCAATCATTGTCTTTATTGTTGGTTTATTTTACCGCTCTAAAATATATTGTTTTATTTTACTTTACCTCTCGCGTTTATTTCATTCACCCGCGACCTTACTCCGTTTTTCTACCACCCCGCCCCTCTCCGTTCGGTCCAGAGCTAGTCGGCCCGAATTCTTTCTGCGAGCCGTCTTGAAAATTGACACGCGGGACGCGTGTCTGGCGCCCACACTACAACCTATAAAAAACTGACGAGCTTGCGAATTCGGAGAGATTCCGAGTGTCGAACTCCAGAAGCGGAGCTCCGACGGAGATAGAGTACATCTCCTCCTTTTTCTCTGTGGCACAGTTGCAAAAACGTCACAATAGATATGCGCAAAGAAATGACGGATTAATCTAGCAAAAGTGAAAGAGTTTTTTTTCTGTGCATCATTTTTTTCAGTATTTATGTTATTTAAAGAGTATACATATATTTTATGTAAAAAGACTTTTATTATGTACCTAAAAGTGAAATGTATAAAATACTATATAAAATAAAATAACAATAT